AGCAACCAAGTCATTTTTTTTTTTTTAAGATTTTTATTGGGGGAATTGGGGGAATGGGAACAGTGCTGGGGAATTGGGGGAAGGGGAACAGACAAGTTGCTGTCGTCTTGTTCTTCAATCTAGTTGTTGAGGACGTTGCTTCACTGGCCCAAGTTGGCACCATCATTGCGCTCTTCTCTGGCGAGGCAGATCAGTCGCCGGCTTCTGGACGGCCGCTCACTGCGGCTGCTGGCCGCTCACGCTGGCTGCTGGCCGCTCACGCTGGCTGCTGGCTACATACGTAGCCCATGGCAACCCACTGCCACAGGGACTGCAGCCTACGCCGTCGCCGGCGACTCATGGCAGCCCAGCTCCAGGTTGAGCTGTTGTTCAGCATCTTAGCTGTAGAGGGCAGTGTTACTGGCCCTCATATGTGGGATCCGAACCGGGGCCCTCTGGCATCCCAAGCGAGTTCTTAACCATCGCGCCACTCGGCCGGCCCAACCAAGTCATTTTTGATATGACATAAGTAGAATCCTACATCTAACCTACTAAAACCTGCATGTACCCAGGCTGATTTTTACAGATGTTTTATTCCTTTTGACTGTTGAATACATGTCAAAATTTAACAAGTGTGAATTCTCAAGTATCATTTCATATTTGAATTTCCTTTAAATGATGACACACAAGCTGACCCCATTGGTTATATTAACTGGGTTCTTTACCATTTATTTTCAACTCTCCGCACACTATAGACAAGACTTAATTTTTTTCTCTCAGAAATAAAAATTTCTATCTGATACGTTGCATTTCATAATCGATTAGATATTTTTAGAAGGGTTAACTTACCAAAAGAGATCCTAAACTGCAGCATAGTATTGTTACACAAACTATTGCATTGTGTCCCCATGAGTCCTCATGAGAGATTGGAAAATGACCAATTCTAAGAGTTTTCTTTGCTCAGAGCAAAAATTGGTAACAGTGTTTGGGAACAATACACAGCTGGAGTCAGAAAGGTGCTGACCCTAGTGTTCACATGTCCAGCTGTGGAACCGGACAGCCTGGGCTCTAACCTAAACTTAAGTCACTTAAGTCACTTGAATAAAAGTAGAATGATCGTAGTATCCTGTAAGGTGTAGGAGGGAACTGAAGCAGATAATATATTTAATACAGCACCTGACACATAAAACATAATCATTAATCAGCAATTATTGCTAGATCCATAGAGCTTGGAAAGTTGGAAGTGCTTTCAGTCAGAGCCAAACAAGTGACTTTGCTCAAAGATCCTTCGTATAGCCCAGAAATGTGCAGTTGTGTTGTGTGCTGCACCCTGGTTGAATGTCTGGGAACCTGGGCAATTGGACATGAGCAAAGGTGGCTGGCATGGAAGGGACAACCAATTTTCTCTGGAGGCTGAAAGGTTTTCTGAATGTCCTCCAACAGGACTGAGGAGGTTGCCAAGGAGATGGCAGTTTTTTGTTTTTCTCTTCTTCCTCTAAGAGGGCGAATGATTCAGAGAGCTTGCAATCTAGTTTTAGAGAAGCACCTAATAAAATAAGTGCAATAAATAGGAACGTGTGCTTTCATTTCCTCCCAAATAGAACAAAAGAAAATGCAGAGCCTACGATCTTTACTTCTATGCAAATTATTAACTTAGATGGTGCTAGCAGTGTCCGCTGGGGAAGAAGTAAAGGTACGAGCCCTCTACGAAGTGGGAAAGGGAACTTTAGAATGCTTAGGGCTCCTCCATGTAAGGAAGCAGATATTCTAAAATAAATCAGAAAGATGGCTTTTACCTTTGGCCATGCTTGTATAGGGTAGCTTGTACATTGGTTTTCATGTTATCGAGGAGGAAAGATAACTATTGCCTATGTTCTATCTTGATCAGAAGTAGAAGTCAGGAACTGGATTTTTTTTCAATCTAATTGGCTTAAATTTAAATATAAATAGTATTAAATTATTTGTGGATACCATTATAAATAATGGTTCGGAAGCCATAGCTACCAATGACATATCGCAAAACAATAACAAAAGATGCTATGCATTGTGTAGTTTCAGGAATGTCAAAGGTACAAAGCACTGTCCCTTTAATATGTCCTTAGGGCTACACAGGGGGACTTAGGTGCTGTAGATTTCATACTATAGACTGACCTTGGTGGTTACCTGTCGCTTTCAATATGGTACTGTAATCAGGAAAGATCCAGATTTGCTGGACGTGACATAATTTCAAAGGACCTCCCTAAAAAAGACCACAAACAGAACAAAAATTAGGTTTGAAAGTAAATATTTACCTAAAATTAGGAATAAAAAAAAAGAAAAATTAGAAATGAATATAATATCAATAAATCACAAAGTTAAAAAAATGACAAATACCACAGACATTATGAAAACTAGAAACTTAACATAATATGTATATTAATTATCATACCTTTAATTTTTTACAGTTTTGGCTGAACACTCTTTGTATTATCCCTTCATATGACACAATTTTCTAATATTTCCTAAACAGAGAAAGTAGAAAAATAATTCAGTCTTTTCTTTAGCATGTTTGATTTAAATCTGTTACTTATTATTGAAATATTAGAGCAGTCCTTTCAAGTTCATAACTCATGATTTATACTGTCCTATAAATTTTCAGGGTCGTTGTCACATTTTGGAAAACATCTGTCAGCTTTTCCTGATATGAACTATTATGATTTCAGGCATTGAAGGAGTTCTTGTGCTCTGACTAATACGAAATACTCTGAATTGAGGTCATGTAAACTGGTTTGCTCTCAATGTCATTACTGTAGGGACCAAGTGTTATGGTGTCATCACTGATGTGAATATACCATGCACGGCAGGAGCAAACGTCCGTTCTTACTAGGCACCAATGAGAATTGAGTCATCCACTTAAACTTCACAAGTTTCCATACTTTCCAAAGCTTGCTTCTCCATACTTTCTAAAGCTTGCTTCTCCTTCATTACCCATATACTTCTGGGACCAGGCACTACGGAGCATGCCCACATGTGTGTGCTGTCTTCAGCCCTGCATCATTGTGTCATGGTGCCAATCGTTTTGGCACGGGTGATGGGAGGATTCCAAGAAGCCATTCTGACACTTAGATAGTCATCAGTTACCAAATGAATACAGTTGAGACTGCAGAATAGACCTGACTGATCTGAAACTAAATACATTCTACCCTTGACTTTTTGCTTGAGTCCTCCAAATGCCTGTGACTGCCTCATGTCTACTACTAGCTTGGTGGAAAGAAGATGAAAGGGAAGTCAGAGCAGGAAAAAACAGTACTGTACTTTCTGGCAATTAAGACATCTTTTCAATTTTTACAAAAATAGATGACCCTGAAAAAACATCAGTAGGGTTGCCTTCAGGTCCTTGATGGCATCTTTTCAAATGAGAAGCCCTGAGACTAAACGTTATTAGGCTGAGAGGAAATCCAGCTCTGACTCCATTTGTCAGATTTTCCTTTTTCTTCTCATTGGCGCTTCCATTCGTTGTTGACTATGAGTTCCTTCCGTAATCTGTTTGTTTCATTCTTATTTCATCCATTCTTCTAAATCCTTTTCTCTCCATCCATTCTAACACAACCGCCAAAGCAATGTTACTCAAATACTAAATTTCCTACATTCCTTTTCCTTGATTAGATCTATCAAAGAGTACTTATTGCCTATAAAATAATTTTCAATTTTTTAAAAATCTGGAATTCAAACCTTGCCTCATTCAAAGCCTTTCTTACTTCCTCCACAGCTTCGCTGTGCAAAACCACTGCTGCAGTGTTAGTATTCTCATTCATTCTAGAACACTCTCTACACTTTCCTATACCTCAGAGTCATTGCTCAGGGGTACTTTTCCCTTAATGTACAATTTAATAATGAAATATTCATAAAACCATCCCAAAGGAAGCCTTTGGAGGAGGTAATGTCACCTTTCTCCATTGTGCTACAGATTGGTCATACCAGTGATTAGTTACGTGGTGTAGATATTACTGACTTCTAATTTTAAAATTGTGAAATGCTGACTTTTTTTAAAACTTCACATCATAACCTAGTCCAAACTAGAATCTACTCCGATGCCCATTCACTGGCACACAGATAAATAAAATGTGGCATAGTCAAATAATGGAATATTATACAGCTATAAAAACTAATCATCTGTAACTACACACAATGGTGTGGTTGAATGACCTAAACACAATTTTTAGCGAAAGGATCTAAACAAAAAAGAATGAATATGTTATTCAATTTACATAAAGTCCCCAAACTGTCAAGTCTATGCCACGTTCTTTGAGATCAGAATGGAGGTCACCCTAGGGGTAGTAGGGTGAGGGGTACAGATTGGCTGAAAGTAGGGGGTTTCCTGAGCGAGTGCTGTTGGGTTTCTTGACCTTGGTGCTGGGTGCGTGGCGGTCTTCATCTTATCAACATTCAGCCAACCATTTGTTGACATTCCCTCTATGCATATCCTGTTTGAATACAAAGTTTTTTTTTTTCAAAAACCGGCATTTCAGTTTCTTGATTTTTTAATTGTTCAGCCCATTTATGCCTCGTGAGAGTGGACCTGTTGCTTCACACACATTTATAACAAGTCTTTAGAAGGCTAGTTTCATGACTGCAGGAGAAGCAGGCCTCCCCGAATCAGCCAGCGCAGTGCTCATGGCCAAGTTCACCTACATTGTCCGGGGCTGGATTGTGAAAGCATTGCCTAACCTCCAGTTCCATAATGGGTTTTAAAAGAGCTTCTATTATTTTATCTCCTGAGATTTCCACACAATAGACCCGAATGGGGTTTGAGTAATGAAAGGGTTTAGGAATCCAGAAAACATCACCAGTCACTGCTCTGCACATTCCAGGAACCGGGACAGGTTCCAGGGAGAACTTGCCTGGGGTTTATAAAAAAACGAAGCGAGAGCAGGTCACAGTGTTAACACTCAGGGGGTGGGGGTGGGGGAGAACGCAGTGAGAGCCCGTGCAAACGCTGGCGCTGCTGGGACTTGTGGGTGATTTTTTTCTTGCACTTTATAAACGTTTCTGATGGGCGGGGCATTTAGTTGTCTCTTCATTTCCCAAGCTGTGTTTCAACTTCCTTCTGGAGCAAGTCTTTTGTTGCACTAATCACAGTTTTTCACAGAGCAGAGCCTGACAGTGTGTGAGCAGTGTCAGTTAGTAAATGTACACCTGACTGATCCCCCAAAATGCGATTTCCAGCGAAGGTTCTGGGACTTATGTTATGGACTGTTTGTGTGGCACAAGGTAAGAGGAAAAAGAAAGTTTTTTTTTTTCCCTTGTAACTGTGTTATCAAACATTTGCTAATATGCTTTTCATTGTGGTAATAAAAATCTGGTATAGAAAATGTGATTTAATCACTGCCCGGTACCTTATTGCTTGAGTGACTTTTGACATTGTGAAGTTTAAAACATGTGAGCAGCTTATTTGAATGTCATTTCTGATTACTGGTCATAATTTTATTTGAGGTGGAAGTCCAGAAAATGTCTTAATAAATATTTTTGAAAACTATAATAGGCATAGTCACATCCCTTGTAATTGTCATAAAATATAATGTACTTTTTTTGCTTAGCATTTTCAACAAAATGCTTTAGGGGAAAGTATTAAGAAGTATGTGAACATGTAAAGAACTAGAACATAAATTAGATGATAAAAGCCTTGCAATTATATAATGATTAGATGTATTTTAGATCTAGATGTTAACTGTTCTTAAAGAAATATTCATTTATTATTTAGAACTGATATTTCCATGGCCTTAAAAGTTTTGTAGATGAGCATTACTTGTATCATTAGATTGAAAATATTATATAAACTTGAAAAAAACAGTTGAACGTGCAATCTTTTAACACCTGAATTGTTCAAGAGGGTGTTTTTCCCTGTGGGTATATAAAAGATATATTCTAGAAAAGCAGCCTTTAGGTATAGTGAATATGAGTGTAGGAACTTTTTCCTGATATCAGTAAGACAGTTGCTGGATTCATAATTATATTTAATTCTACCACTATTTCCCGATAGATGAATAAGTTTCTCCTTGGAGGAAATTTGCTTTCCTAGTTTATGATAAGTAGTTATGTGATGGTTGATTGACATTTTTAAACCAAGTGAATTACATAGCACTCATAGTCTCAAAACTTTTCTCTCAGTAAACAAATTTTGAGTGAAATTCTTATGCGTGTCAGCCTCTAAGCATTGAGGAATATTAGCAAATAACACAAAACCTCTGTCTCTGAGGATTTTTCCGTCTTGAAAATAAAGGCAGGTATCTTTTTTTTTCCAGTTATATCCTTTAGTAATGTATTTGCATTTATTCAGATGTGTTTAATATTTTTGGAAAGCTAGAACCTTTTGTTAGTTATATATTCTAATATACTAGTGCTTGATTTTTAGCTTGTAAACCTTATTTTCAGCCACTTCTTAAGCAAGGTATACCATAATTTCCCTGCACATATGAATGTTACAGGTAGTATTTAAAAGTGAAATACTATTTATTGCCAAAGAGCATCAGAACAATGTCAATGTTACTAGTCATAGCAAACACCTTTTTCTTTACATAATTGTCTTTTGTTTAATAGGAATACTTTTTGTGTTTCACTGTGTAAATATTGTTTGCTGAGGTTTTGTGTAGACACCGTTTGTCATGGTAAGAAGATTTGTTTTATCTCTAGCTCATGTTTAAAACTCAAGAATCATGCCAATTTTCATTAAACCATTTTAGTGATTACAACGTGGAATTTGAAACATTATTAAAATTGGGTACTACAAAGTATAAGTGATAAAAATTAAATAAAAGGGGTTTAAACTCCTTGCTTATGTAATTTATTCCAGGGAACTTCACTTGTGTTTTATAATTCATCCAGGTATGTTTAAATGTGATCGTTTCTGCCAGTGAATTGAGCTCTATATACCAGGGGTGCCCAAAAAATGTATACACATTTTAAGAGATTTTCTTATCTATGCTCAAGTAGTAGTTCGTCATAATCAGAAGTGTCTGGATGCTGATGGAAACCACCTTGAGCACCTCTTGTAATTGCACAAGTCAAATGTGACTTGTATTCATCTTTTGTTATCGGAATATATTATTACAATTCATAGTTTTTTCCTTTCTTAAAATGTGTGTACAGTTTTTTGCCACCCTCTGTATATTACAGTGAGAATGACTTCACTACTTTTTAACAGGTAAAGTACAACTTTAAAAGTAACAGGTTAGCCTCATGATTTTCACAAATGCATACCTAATACCCAAGCTAGTGGAGGAAAATGACATGAATTTTCCATGGATGGAGAATGGCTGTTTACCAAATGATCCTGAAACTAAATTGGTTTACTGCAAATTATTACAAGTTTTGATAACTTTTCTGCAACAGTTTTAGTAGGGGAAGTGATCGAAATAGATGACAAGGAAGGTAAGAACCAGACTGCGCAATCCTGGAAGATGAGGTTTTGCCAGGCAGGCCTGCTGGATGAAGGGTTCCACTGAGAGCTGTAGGGGAGGTGGGGAAAACACCCACGAGAGGGAACCCTGTGCCCAAGCAAGCCTTGTTGTTTCAAGTTTAGACATATCCTGGAAATGCATATGCTCCTCTTTTGCCCTCATAAAATGTTAAAGTAGACCTGAATGGTTTACGTATTGCCAAAAGTATCCTTAGCTAGAAGTAAGTTCCCAAATATAACTCGAAGCCCAGGTTAGTAAAGATTCTTCATTTTGGCTTTGGTTGCAATGGCTGGAGCCAAAGTCTAAGTTGATCCATTTTTATTTGCTCAATCCCTGGTTGATTCTGCAGCGTTTGTCACTTTCCTACTTCCCAGCTGTGCCTCCTCCTCCCCACCCCACACACCCTCCCCCACCTGCCTGGCCTGTGATATTCAGCCAACTAGCCTATCCTGCGTTCGCTCAACTAATGTGCCCTTTACCCATTTCTTAACAACTGCAACTGGTCTCAGAAAATCGTGCATAAAAAGGGCATGATATAATGGGGGGTGGGGGTGTTCCATTTCAGCTTAAAACAAAAAGGAAATGGTATAAAAATGGCTCAGAGAAAATAATGGAACAGGGAAAAAAATCACAAAAATAATAAAAGGAAAGGGGAATAAAAGATTCAACAGAGCACTTTTGTTTGGACATTTTAAGAGAGAGAGACAAGCTTCTCATAAACCTTGTTAACTAGAAATAGATAGAAACGTGATTATAGAAATGTTGCTTCAAAGGCTTCCAAAAGTTATTTTGAGCTAAAAGAAAAAGATTTCTGACTTTTAGAAGTCTAGCATCAATTCAAACTTAGGACACGTGGACAAGATGGCCAATAGAATCACAGATGTTAGAGTTTCTTGGGTTGGTGCAACAGATCTTTGAATGCCCTGAACATTCGTTCCTATCTCCTCTTTCATCATTTGTATTTGTTACCAGTATTATGCACTTTCACAGGTTGGCCATAACCTGCAGAGATAATGGAAAGGCTCAGAGGCGGTTTCATATTCATTCATTCATTCATTGGTTCATTCAATGATCATTTTTTTTTAATTTACGGCTAGGTATCAGGAACTATTGATTAGCACTTTCCAAAAGGAGTCACTTTGTGGGGACGATGAAAGGAATGATTACTACATTTTATTAACATATTGCATTTTATCACGTAAAGCATTATGCTGAAGAGAAACAAAGAGACTCTAGGATCATTTAGAGAAGGCAAGAAACCCAAATCAGATTGAGAGGATGTAGAGGGATAGGTTGAGGAACTGGCTTGTAAGAGGGGCAATGAAGACAGAGAAACATGTCAGGGTTACAGTGGCACCTTGGGTAGGGTTTTGAAGGCTGAGAAGGAGTTAACCAGACGAGGATGACGAGGACAGTCAAGGCTGAGCATACATCAAGTGTGTATATAAAGGACTTTGAGTAATTCTGTGAAATTGGAGGACTGGGTTTACCTCCCATCTTTCTAATTCTTCCATCAATTGAACTTCCCCAAGCACGACAGGTATAATTGGGTAGAGGGTACGTGTTTCTTCCCTTTCTCTTTTCATACTTATCCCCAAGGTTGTCATGATAATTATTCCGATGCAAAATCATTCCTGCTGCAGAATATTCAGGGTGTTCATGTTAATGTTGCCTTGTCCGTAACTAAGTTCCTTTTTGCCAAGCCTTACAAAAACTTATTCCATGTATACTAACAACTTATTTTAAGAAGATGACATTTTGGCATAAACGATAATTGGCATTAGGTATAGGTTTCAAATACTACACATTTCAAGAAACCTGATTTCAGTAGCATTTTCAAGCTGTATCCTGGTAGTAACTCACTTCACTCGTAATTATGATGTCCTTGCTATTTTGCCCAATTTCTAGTAGCTATCACCTATTCCCCCATTTACTTCTTACAATCTTGGAATTATCTTATGTTCCTTTTCACTATTAAAATTTTTAAAAGAAATTGTATAATCATCTTTTTAAATTTTAAAAATATACTTTTATTTTTTCACATGTTAAGTACAGCATAATTTCTGCTTTTTCTATAGTGTATTTTTTGAAAACTTCATTGCCACTGATATTTTCTTTACATATATATACATATATATACCCTTTTCTTCATTACATATTATATATATACATATTTATATACATATGAATGTATAACTTTCCAAATTACCTTTAATTATTCTCATGTTATTTGTAAGATAATATGAATATCTTATTTTTAAAAGCTCATTGAATCATATCATTTGTATGCATAGATAAGAGTTATGCATGTATACCAAGAAAAAGATAGGAAAGAAATTTAACATAAAATACCTATTTTTGCTATTTCAGTTTTGCCTATTTGATTTATTTTTTTCTAAGTTGATTTTTAGTTTTGCTTTATATTATAATATCTACTAAGTTTAGAATGAGGTTATTTAAAAAGCAGTATTCTGTGTTCTTTTTTTTCTCCAAAATAATTTTAGAAAAATAGAGCAATTGAACAAAAAGACTAACTTTAGTCTACCCAAGCAAACTGGTGCAAATTTGATTAAGGCTTTCTCAAATATATAATTTTATCATAATTTGATTTATTTCACTTGATTAAGAATACTTTTCAAACAACAGTTTATAGATATATTGACATCGAAAACAAATAATTAGCTCTGTGTTTGTGTTGATAATACCCCCTTAATATTTGAAAATGGAAAAATGAAGTAAATAATGATTATTAAAATATAAGTATACAGTATTTATTTTTAACTTTGATCCAAATTTTATAACTTTGTCCCTCAAATTCAAGTAAAATGAATCCTTTTCCAGTCCAGTAGCCAAATCCATCTGTGCTCCTTCTTTATGGACTGAATAATTATGGACTGAAAAACTGGAAAGCTAGACCAAGTGCATAAAAAGTTCACCCAGGTAATATTTTTCAACAGAAAAAAATTAATTGGCATTTAAATGACTATGTAAACACATCAGATGAAGTATTAATTGTTTAAACCCAAGTAAATACTTAGACATAAGAAAGCTTAGTTTACTTATTAACTTAGAACTTGAGAAATACGATGGCTGATAAAAAGTAATAAAAGCTTTAAGATAAATCCTACCTCAGAAAAAAATGTTTCCTTGCTTTTGAAAATATTTTTACGCTACCTAGTTAATAAACCCTCTGCCCTATTTCTTCAAGAACTATCAATTTAATTCAAGCGAATGCTGTTGGTGGACATACCTGCAATCAGTCTGACACCTTGGGCTAAAATAACTTTCTGTCTAATTAGAAACTTTTGAGAATGTGGTTTAACTGAGCTCGAACAGTTAGTTACTTGTCAATTCAAGCAAATAAAAGTCGTGTTGTAAGTTATGCTTAATCACTGTTTAAATACATTATAGTGGATCACCCCTGTAGACTTTTTGTTATGACATGAGTTGATGATACTCTATATAGTAAAGATTAGAGCAAAAGTGAACAGGAAGTCATCTTGGAGTTATAAGATTTGGGTATTAATGAAAATCTCTCCACTGCAAAAAATAAACAGGACAAAACCAGTCCATATTCTCAGGGAGCTTCCATGTTGATGGAAGGATAGATGAAACCCTAGGAAACATAAACATAATTATGAACCGTGAGCCATGCTGTGAGAGTAGGGGCTGAGGGAGAATAACAGAGGCAGGGCGGGTGATGGGGAGATGGGGTGTGGAGACGTCAGCGGGACTCATCTTGGAAACTAGAGAGATAAGTGGATTATTTTGGGGACATAATATTTGAGTAGAGACTGAAAGATGAAACGAAGCCAACCATCTAGTCTGTAGTAAAAATGTGTCAGAATCAAAGTGACCCCTGATGATCTTCAGAGCTAAGATTCCTGGGCAGTGGAAAGATGGAAAAACGGAGTAGCGGTGATAACATCTTTTTCTCACAGCCAAGAGATGCCATTGAAAGTTCATGGAAGAAGCATGAACTTGTAAGTGGAGTGTATTTGAAGTAAAAAGAGTGATCAGTATGAGAACTCTGGATATATAGTAAGCATATATACACAGGGTAAATATTGTGAGAAGCTTGTATGAAGATTATGTGAAAGATATGTATTTTGTCTTTTACATTTGGTTGTTAAAACCAATGAACTAAATTTGAAAAATCAAGAATTAGAAGTGTCAATGTATTATCTGGAAAAATCTCAACAATCAAAAGGAAAACTGTTTGCCTCTGGCTGGCAAATGGGCTGAATTTTTTGTGGCTGGATTCTCTTTTGATAGATCACTGCGTTAATAAAAATAATTTAAATTGAATAAATTAATTAAGAAAAATTATATTGCTTTTTCCGTGCCTTAGCTTAATAACAGAATAGGAACTAAGTTTATCAAACTGTTAGCTTATATTAGTGGAAAATAGTTCTCTACTCACAATATTGACATCTACATTTGAAATTTAACTAACTTATTTTCCTATTAACATGACCGCCATGAAGTAGTCTGAACTTCAAAAGTGAAAAACATACAGTAACCTGTAATTAAACAAAAAATTGTTCATGGTGAAAACAAACATGAACTTACATTTAAAAAAGCAAAAAAACAAAACACGCTTGGGAGTTGGGAGGAGTGGGCTGTTTGTGTTGTTTCATGGCAGGGTATTACCACCATCTAGTGGAGAAAACGTATATTTACTTAAATTATAAAAATAAAAAATGTAACGTGGAATCATTTATAACAAAGTTACCTAACATAAATGTGCGAAAAACTTGCAAAAACTTCAGAGGAAAATGAGTGCATGTGAAAGCCCATAAAAGTATTATTTTACTACATAAAATGTAGTTTCACATGGAGCTTTCCGTTCTATGAAATGCTGTAAAACGTCTTTTGGGCTTTTTTGTTTTTTATTTTAAGATTTTTATTGGGGAATTGGGAGAGGGGAACAAACAAGTTGCTGTCCTTTTGTTCTTCCGTCTAGTTGTGGAGGACGTCGCTTCACTGGCCCATGTTGGTATTATCATTGTGCTCTTCCCGGGTGAGGCAGATCGGTCGCTGGCCTCTGGACAGCTGCTCACGCTGGCTGCTGACCACTCACAGTAGCTCACAGAAGCCCACTGCAGCCCCACTGCAGCCTGCACCGTCGCCTGTGCCTCACGGCAGCCCAGCTCCAGGTTGAGCTGTTGTTCACCATCTTAGCTGTAGAGGGCGCAGCATTACTGGCCCTCATGTGGGAACCGACCCGGGGCCCTGCTGCTCAGAGCTGGAGTCCCAAGCCAGCTCCTAACCAACGCGCCACTCGGCCGGCCCTGTAAAACATTTTAATAATGGGTATGTTCCATGATGGGAGCTGGCTCAGTTGATTATTTTCCTTCCTTGCCTTTTAAAAAGAAATTCCAGGATAGAATATTAAACCATTATTATAAAACCAAGTAAGAAAAGGAGTTTATCATTGAAAACAATAGCAATAAATATGGATGGTGGTAAGTATGTATCTTTGAATTTGCTGTTTTAAAAAGTAACGTGTAGGGCCGGCCGAGTGGCTCAGTTGGTTAAGAGTTCACTCAAGAGTGCGAGCTCTGAGCATCAGCGGTTCGAGTCCCGGCCCGAGCTGAGCAACTGCTGGGATGGCTCAGCTAAAAAAAAAAAAAAGTAATGTGTTGGGGGTTTGCTAATGTAATCATTCTAACATCAAGGGTAGTTATATCTAAATTAAGCAGTAGGCAGTATTAAAAATATTAGCAATTATTATCAGTAGTCATGAGCTTCACTGTTAATTGCTTGCATTCTCTTTATATGTCATTTAGTTGATTTTTTTTTTTTACAAAATCAGAACTGTGCTGTACACGCAGATTCTATTACCTCAATATCTTTGTTTTGAAATATATGAGTGAATAAACTACAAATGTACCATATTACAAACAATTATAATTACCTTGTCCAGAAGTGGGACATTTCCAGCATCCCAGAAAATGCCTGTGGGTTTCTTCTAGATTAATACCCCTACCTTCCTTCTAGAAGAAAACATTATCTCAAATATTTATGGTAATTACATTTTTTTCTCTTCTTTAATAGTTTCACAGCCTGTGTACTCATTCCATGTATATATATATATATATATATATATATATATATATATATATTCTTGAATTTTATTTAGATGCAATAACCCTGTAATAGTTGATGTGCCTTTGTGTCTTTATCCTTCATGTGATTTTTTTTCACGTCATATGGCAGCATTGGTGTATTATTCCATTGCATGGATAGACCAAATTTTTATCCGTTCAACTATTGATGGACGTTGGAGTTGTTGCCATTTTGACTATTAAAAAATCATAAATGATATCATACATGGAATCTTGTTCACATGTGCATAAGTTACTGTAGGATATATTCTGTGAGTAATAAACAATGTATATCTTCAACTGCACCGTGGGTTGCTAAATGTTTTTCTGTTATGGTGACTCCAGATTTCCCCCTCACCAGCAGTTCCTGGTGCTCCACATTCTTCCCAAGTGGTGGGATTTTTATAGACTTCTTAAGTTTTTACCAATGTCATGTTATTGTATTCATGGTATATGATGGTTTTCATTTTCATTTTCAGTGTGAGAAATTTTTCGTAAGTTTATGAATCACTTAGCTTTTTTCTCTTTGATGAAATACCTGTTCAAGTCCTTTACCCATTTTCTTCTCCTCCTTCTCCCCTTTCGCCTCCTTTTTTTTTTTACTAGCCTTGTAAGGTTTTAATGGCTAGGCTATTTCTCCTTGTATGCTTTGTAAAAAGAGCAGGTGACTCCAACTAATTCTACAACTGCAGGTTGGAGGGGTTTTTTTTATACATCTTGAGGTTTTGAAAATCTCCTTGAGTCAGTTCTGTTATCATTTTGTTTTCTAAGAATTTGTCTGTTTCATCAGGATTTTCAATGTATTGCCAAATCACTGTTACAAGTTCTGTTAAAATCTTTATGATGTTTGCAAGATTGCTAGCGGTATCCTTTTTTCATCCCAGATCATGAGTATTTGTGGCTTCTCCCTTTTTTCGTATCTGGATCACTTTTGCCAGAATTTTATCAATATTATTTATCTTATCGAAAAAATGATTGCTCTGTTTCATAATGTTGTGTCTTCTTTGAAATGTTTTCATATAATTTTGTATCATCTTACCATGCTTTATTTTCCTAAAGCAAATTTATGTACTAGTAATGCATATCCTGCATCTCTTTGGTTACTTGTTAAATGACTAACTTCCTTTTTAGGGCAGATCTTTGCCGCTTTTATTTGTTGTTTTTTCTTCAGAACTTAGATTAGTACCCAATAAATATTTCCCAAATTAATGAATGAGTAGTAGAAAGCAATGCAGAAGTTAAAATAATAAAGTATAAGTATTTCTCTGAAAAGTTATTGTTTCAAATTTATGCAGATTCAACTTATGTAAGCTAATATATATATATAATATATATTAATATATATGTAATATATATATTATATTATATACGTGTGTGTGTGTGTGTGTGTGTGTGTGTGTGTGTGTGTGTGTATACACTCACACATATATAAAGAAATCCATTTGGCTGGACCTGGAACCATTAGGTATTTTTAAAAGCAAAAATAACCTAAACATACTGTATATTTAAATAGTTACTTTAAGCACTTATTTTGTTTTTATTGTTTGTAGATTGTCAAGAACCTCCTCCAAGAAAACAGACAGAAATTCTGTCAGGCTCCTGGCAGGAACAGAGCTACCCAGAGGGCACTCAGGCCACATATAAGTGCCGACCTGGATATCGAACTTTCGGCAATATCCTCATGCAGTGCCGAAGAGGGGAGTGGGTGGCGCTCAACCCAACAAAGATATGTCGCAGTAAGCAATTCATACATTGGTGAAATTTATGAAAACTTTTCATTGTGAAAATACTGAATGTTGGCTATTGTGGCAGTCCTTGGCTGAATTATGTCACTATGGTCATTTAAATATGAAACGCAACTGCATTACTATTCTTTTTATTGTATTTATTTATTTATTATTGAGGAATTGGGAAAGAGGAACACTGTTGGGGAATTGGGGGAGGGGAACAGCCAAGCTGTTGTCCTTCAATCTTAGTTGTGGAGGGTGCAGCTAGCTCAGCTCCAAGTCCAGTCGCCCCCC